TAACGCAGCACCAAGGAGGTGCAGGGATTTGGGGTTGGGTTGGATTTGGGTCACTGCCCCCCCACAGATGCCCAGGGTGCCAATCCCATGTGCGAGGTTGAGGACGGTGTCTGGAGCTGATGAAAACACCCCACACCCCCTATATGTGACAAGCCAGCCCCTGCCCCCTGGCAGGCACCAGCGTTGTGCTTTTTCCCTGGGAATTGGCTTTCCCTGCCCTGTCAGTGCCCCCATCCAGCCTGGCACATCCTGGCCTGCAGCATCCCAGACCAGCACGCTGCTCCAGCCCTTCCCAGGGCCAGGGATAATGAAAGAGTCAAAAATAATATTTGTTTTGGCAGAATTACACTGCAAATGAAATAGATGCCCTTGACCAGAGAAGAAACTGAATTTTGCAGCAGGTTCTTATTTTTTTTTTTCCCCTCACAAACAAGCTCTGCAGCCAGTCCAAGGCAAGTGGGAATATTTTTGAAGGACTCTCTTGTATTTCCTGCATCGGATTTGCAGCAGAGCTGCAGCCACACTGGTTGTACTGTTCGATGAAAAATGCAGATTCCACCCCATGTATCAATCCCAAATGGAAAAGGGCCCCAGGCCTCGGGATTGTTACAGATCACTTCCATGCACGCCGGGTTTGCGGCGTAATGAGCTCAGACTGGAGGCATCTCGAACAGAAAAACGATTCATTGGCGTGGTGGGGACCTTCCTCGAGATGTGCCCAAATTTCCTGGCCTTTGGAATTAGAGGAATTAGTCATCTGATTGGGGCGAGCAAGAGCTGGCCCTTCAGAGTTTCCATTGCATTTTTCTTAAGCAATTCTCAAGCACTGGGAACTTTTTTGAAGTGATAATTGATATTTTGATGTTTTCTTTATCAGTGGAATTGCCGTTGTTGGTAGGACACTTTCCAAATCATGTTAAGTTAGAAACGAGTGATGATTTTAAACTATTGTTTCTTTTAACATCTATTACTATTATTATTATTTTTATTATTATCATCATTGCTATTATGATCTTTAAGATCCCTTTCACCCCAAAATATTCTATGCCACTATGATTATTTCTTCTGGAAAAATCACAGATTGCCACTTTTAATCATTTTTCCTCCTCCTTAAAATTTATATCATCTATAAATATTGTGTTGCACCCAGCTCCAAGAAACTTGGTATTAGCATGGTTATTTATTGGGAAAGGTGGTGTGGCAAAGCCACTTCCTTAAAGAAAATGCAAAAATGATTAAACCTTTAGAAAATTCCTTAAAAACTTACAGCCCAATATCCCAAGGGGAACCCTGGAAGATTTAGGGACTATTTCAAGAATAATTTCCCGATGAGAACCTTCCAGGAATGCAAAACCCCTTGAAGAATTGCGTTTACAGGTTTAATTGTGTTCATTTTTATACCCTGGGAGAAGGGAGCGGGGCCGAGGGTGGGTGTGAGGGGCCCTTTTTACTTTTCTTTTTTCTCTTTTTTTCTCTTCCCTGTTTTCTTTTTTCTCTCTCTCTTTTTTCTTCTTTTTTCTTTTTTCTTTTTTCTTTTTTTCTCTTCTTCCTTTTTTCTTCTTTTTTCTATTTTCTTTTTACTTTTTTTCTTTTCTTCCTTTTTTCTTTTTTCTTTTTTCTTGTTTCTTTTTTCTTTTTTCCTTTTTCTTTTTCCTTCTTTTCTTTCTCTTTTTCTTTTTTCTCTCTTTTTCTTTTTTCTTCCTTTTTCATTTTTCTTTTACCTTTTTTCTTTTTCCTTTTTGTCTCTCTTTCTTTTTCTTTTTACTTTTTTTCTCTTTTCTCTTTTTCTCTTTTCACTTTTCTCTCCTTAGTTTTTTTTCTCTTTTTTCTTTTTTTCTCATTTTTTTCATTTTTTTTCTTCTTTTTTCCTGTTTTTTCCTCTTTTTTTTGCTTTTTTATTTTCTTCTCTTGTTTTGCTATTTCTTCTTTTTTTTCTCTTTTTTCTTCACTTTTTTCTCCTTTTTTTCTCTTTATACTTCTCTCTCTTTACTATTCCTCTCTTTTTTCGTTTCTTCTCTTTTTTCCTATTTTTTTCTTTTATTTTTATTTTTCTCTTTTTTTCCTTTTTTCCTCACTTCTCTTTTTTCCTGTTTTTTCTTTTTACTTTTCTTTCTTTACTTTTTCTCTCTTTTTTCTTTTCTTCTCTTTTTTCCTATTTTTTCTCTTTTTTTCTTATTTTTCTCTTTTTCCTTTTTTTCCTCTCCTCTTTTTTTCCTGTTTTTTTCTCTCTTTTATTTTTTTTCTTTTTGCTTTTCTCTCTTTTTTATTTTTTCTTTTCTTCTCTTTTTTTCCTATTTTTTTTTCTTTTTTTTCCATTTTTTCTTTTTTTTTCCTCTCTTCTCTTTTTTCCCTGGGACAGTGGGAGGTGTCCCTGACATGGCAAGGGTGGGAATGGGATGAATTTTAAGGTCCATTCCCACTCAACCCACTCTGGGATGCCGTATCTTCCCAGGACTAGAAAATTTCTGTGAAAAAACAAATTATTGAGGAGGGATCCCAGTGCCCGAACTCCCCAGCAGATCCTCTCTGGGCTGTAGCACCTCCATGTGCACCTGGAGAAATTCTCTGGAAGGCTTCTCCCCAGCCTGATGCAGAGCATCCCC